ACTTTTGTACAGGTGATTTGATGAAGCTGAGCCGTCAGGTTTAACAGCTCTTGACACGGAGTTGCCTGCGCGGCATTTCTGTGAGTGGAGTGAATCTTTTGTAGTCTTATCGTTTGTAAAGCGCTTCGGCGCTGCACATGGTCATGGGTCTTGGGAAAATGGCATCATTCTCATCGTTCGTGTGTTTGGACAGGGCCTCGCGCATGTCTAGAGTTTAGAGTCTGGAGGGCTCCTTGGTTGTGATGCGGTGTTGCAGGCAAGAGCTGCACTGGCTCCTGCACAAGCTGCATGGGGCTTGGATCGCATTCTGGTGGATTGTGGGTGACTGCATGACAGTGAAGATCACGTCGGTGGATCGCCACTTAGATTAACCTTCAAAACAACAATGCTCACATGATATTCTGGAGCACTATAGACTATGACTACAAATGCACGAGGCCTCACAGCGAGGACATAGAGACCTGGCAAGCTCAGCAGTCACTGTGCTGCATGAGAGTGTGTCAATTTGCGTTCGGCAGATGTAGCTGAAGATCGTCTAGGCAGTCCTTGGGGGGGGTACATTGGGGCTGCGTCTACAGAGCAAGGTCGTGTTATGTTGTGTGTTCTCACCGTGTCTCAGCTTGCAATCACCTGACAGAAGGCTGTTTCTCCATGGCGGGTCTTGCTTAGCTGCCATCTTCCAGGCGCGTGCCGAAAGCAGGGCGGCTTTGGGCGGACACCTCTTGAGGGCAATAACTGAGCAATCTATGATAAGATGAATGTCACAGTCGTCATCATTGGAGGAGGCCTCAGAGGACAGAGACATGCTGCTTATGACTCACTGTCGCCCCGTGCTCTCACTTCACGCTTGCATTGGTTGTCCCCAGCCCTGCGTACTAGAAGCTCGCCTACAGAGGCTGGTATCGGTGGCTTGCACTGCTGGATCTGCAGAGTTTCAGTTGTCCTGGTGCCCAGGATTGCCAAGAATCCAAGTGATATCACCAGATTGAAAGCTTGGGCTTGGTGAGCGCATGGACACAGTAGCCTGCACGAGTGTGGTGTGCAACATACACCAATGTTCACTCTTGCGGTTATGGTATCCTCGCAGATTTGCTGGTAGGTTTCGTGGCTTCGACTCGCACTCTTTGTCGCCTCAAAGCAGGAGCCATGCGTAGATATCTGCGGCTGACTCATGCCACAAACAATGTGACATCATGTGATATAGTGTGATATCCTGATATCGTGTCAGGACGTGGTGTTTCCGTCAGCACTTTGCTTCGTGTTCCTCAACATAGGTTTTCTCCTCAGCTGCTGTATAGCTGTGGACAGGCCTGCTCATGCCAGACAGTATCTGTGCCTATCAAGAGGTTATGCCCTGGCCCTCCTCGCTGCGAAGAGCCTGCAGGACCGAACCTACTCAGCCAGGGGTCGGTACCAGAACTATCCTCCAGAACTCTGCCCGAGCAACGTGACATAGGTCATACAGGATATTTGTGCCTGAGGAGATCGCTTTGCCTGCCCGGAAGGGCGATGCATCCCCAGAGGTCTCTGTTGTGCAGGCCGGAAGCGAGCACTAAGCGGGTGTACTCTTGACAACTCAGAGACATTATTGGGGTTCCGGTGGTAAGGGGCCTTTTTTATGAATAACGAGGGAATGACAGGCTGGAGAGACTAGCCGTTCTGATTTGATGAGTGCCAGGTTACCGAGTCCACCGCAAGAGCCGAGGAGCGGCGGGGTATACATGAAAACGCGAGCTTGGGAAAACATGGGGTGTCAATTGAAAAGGGGGAGTTGCGAAGCGACTGTCCGAAGCCTGTCCATAATGGACGAGCCTTTTCGAATCCTTGAATTATCATCTTGTGAGCCCCTACAGAATCCTCAGTATAAACTTGGTCTTTGTGCGATTTGTGCAGCAACGGTGAGGAGCTGGCTGAAGCCTGTTCCATTTGCCTCAGGCGGGAAAGCTCAAGCTGGGGCAAGATCCATCTGAACAGCTGCTATTGAAGCTGCTATAGTTCGTAATTCTTCTGACCTGCTTTGATGATGTGTGTCTGTTTTGTGCCTGTAGGTAAGTTTACGCAGGAGCAGAGTGCCGATCTCTAGTGCCAGCAAGGTGGATCCCAGTTTTGGGTGATCATGTGGAAGCTGTACATAGCAATATAGTCAACCACAAGATGAATTGTGCGTCGCAGTACACCAGACTTACAGCAGATCGGAATCGAATTGCGGTGGCAGGCCTCTTGGCATCGGCGAACCCCTTAGGCGCCTACATTGCGGCCATGTGACAGGGCTGCATTGAATGGCTTACGAACCCTGTGTTCTTCCAATTGGTCTACTGGCAGGATGCGCGATGTAATCTGCAACATTTTCTGCAGGTGCCTTCCCCCATACACGAACAGGACAATTGAGGCCATGTAGGACTTTGCCCCATGTTCTCCTTTCTACGGCCGCGCGTCGTCATGCGAACTCGCCGGTTGCTTGGGACATCTTGCGACCCATCGCGCTTCGAGGCATTTCATCGCTCTTGCATTGAGGGCTGGCTACGCAGCGGTCTGAGCCCGAGCCCATTGTGCCCCTTGTGGCAGTATGCCTTCCAGCAACTGATTACACCCATCGGAGAAACATCTGAAAATATGAGGCGGGAGTGTAGATACAACTGTGCACAGCTACAGATGAAGATGGATAATGAAGGATGCACGCGTAGACAATCCTGGTCCTTGTTTTGTGTGCCTGCAACCGAAAAAGACAGGTGTCATTTCTCGTGATACGCGGATTTGCTTCCGCCTCGGTAGAATTGTGGGCAGTACGAGTGCACATGTTCTGATCTCGCAAATTTTTATTGTCGATTGCAGTACCGCTTCTCAGCAATTTTGGATCATGAAATTCGGAGTTCCGTCTAGCCCTGACATTTGCTGAGGCCCCTTGCGCTGCGAGAACCCACCGCAGGCTCACGAAGCTTGTGTATTCGCATAGCAGGTTGCTGGGGGAAGATGTTTCAGTGTTTTTTTGATGAGCCTTGTTGAGGATTTTCAGATGCCACCTGAAAGACAGAATATCTTTCCAAGCCGTGTGCAAACCTGCCCTGGCTCCAGCCGCCACCACCGCCGCGGCCGACAAATCGCCATCGCTTGTCCGCATTGGGCGGTGCCTGAGGCAATGCGGGCCTGGCAGATTTTTCTTTGCGGCTCGCTTTCGCTGTGAAGTTGATGAGGAGTCTTGTACGGCCAAGCACCCCAGTGTGCTGCAGTGCTCGGCTTCCTAGCTGTGACCACTGAATCTGCATGCAAGATGTACGAGCAGATGGTCTGGGAGCAAGTGCGTAAAGGATTTGCTGCAATAGTCACAATTGTGTGGCAAGAGTCACAAGGTGACCCTTCAGTTATTCAGTCGCAGCAATACCAGCACGGTGATGCGACTGGCTCGGGTTTCAACCTCTCAGGTATGGTAATTTAGGAAAACAAGTGCCACTCTTCCTTGCATGTAGGCACAAGTGGCCGTGCGGCCATCGCAGCTTCACAGCAGCTTGGCAGATGGTTTGATGCTGCGCTTGAAGTAGATCATGTAAGCCCTTGAGTTTTCAACTGCAAGCTTTTGTTAGTTTCTGAAGGCTCTCTGGGAGCGAGGACCTGCCTGAGCTCGATCCCAATCTGCGATGCGTGGCATTGCTGTGTGCGCGCTTTGCTCCCTGCATTCCAGTTGAAGGGCAAGCTGGCACTGCGTTCACCCCATGCGAGGGCCCAAGCCGTAAGTGTTATCCCTCCAGCAAAGCAAGAACCTTAGCACGTGGTCAGCTTGTGTGCAGGGAGGTGAGGAAGATTTGATTGCTGGTGCCACTGCACCGCTCGGGCACTGGATTGTCACGCGAAGGTGTAGCATTCTAGCATCAGCTGAAGTTTCATCTGCTTTGCTTTTGAGTTGCCTGTGGTCCACCAGAATACTGTACAGAGAAGGACGTTTGCATTTGGTGCAGTGGTGAAACCATTGCTTTTCGTCTGGTCAGCTTCAAGTCGTGTTATTTCTTAAAGTCCAAGACCGGTTCAAGACTAGTGGCTGGCGGGCAATTGACCTCATGGTCCATGCATTCCGAGCTGGGAGGTGCTGAAACAGAAACTCAGGCAGATTTCTTTTAAGAGGTGTTAGGAAACGGATACCTCCAAGCTTTTCAGGTCATCGAGACGATTGTTCTCGAGATTTGGGCATGTCATGAAGGCCTACAGAGGCCACGGCTGACTTTCTGTAACCAGTTGATGCGGAAGCCTTCGAGAACCTCAGTTGGTCTTTTGGCAGCTCCATGCTGACTGTTGGTGAATGCTCGAAGTGGCATACAGAAGGTCAAACACTGGGACTGGGACTCCTCAGCTCGATGTGCTGTTGTGATTGCAACAGCAGGGCACGCCGCTGGCGTCGCAATGAAAATGTAGCCTGACACAAGAAAGATGCCGCAAAGCAATTAGTTTGTGTCCGGATTTTTCAAAAGCCCCTGGACGGAACGCTGTTTGCAAGAGGGGTCTACTCTGCGAACCGATGCTCAACTGGGCCCCTTCTGCAACATCCTGGAGATGCCTTGCCTTCGGGATCAGGTGCCTCAAGGGCTGTGCACTCATGTGCACTCCTCCAAGCTGATGGGAAGCCTCAAGACACCTGCAGCATCTTGCAGATACTCATTGATTGGCTGCGCCTTTCCATCTGCCTGCGTGGTGTTGAGAAGCTAGTCGAATTTGTCTTCGCGGCCAGAAGTGCCCACTGCTGCAACAGATGATCATGCCATGCTTCGCGAGATGAAGTCGCATGTGCTGAGAAAAAGCTTTGTTCTGCACAGAAGCCTTGCTACCTTTGCCTTCCTGCGCCAGCTCTACGAACCCATTGACGTCACCTTCGATGTCCAGGGTGCCCTCTACGTGGCAGATAACGGCGGGGATGCCATGGGGTGTATCACGCCTACTGCCTAGCTGATGCTGGAGCTAGTGCTAGCTGCTAGTTCCTGCCGATGCTGTTAATGTTACAAGGCAAAATGTAACCACCTGACCCGATCTTACCCCAAATGGCGCATTGATACAGAAAACGACCCTGAAATGGCCTTGTCTCAGGTTTGTAAGTTAGCCAAGTTCTGCTAGATGGCAGCAAAAACCCAAGCATATCATGGCAATGAACAGAATGCTGCAGTGAAAGCGGAGGGCTCTGTGTAGCTGCCGTGCAAGGCAGTTGTTCCTTGTAAACGTCATGTAGAGTTCAAGACGACATGCGCAGTTTCAATGACTTTGCCCGAAGGCAACGCGCGGGTTGCCAGCATCCCAGACATAGCGCTGGCAATTTCTCTACATAGAGGACCCTAAAAAGGCATTCCACATTTTGGGAAACTCCCAGTTATGGCTGGCGCAGCCGCGCCTTCCGGGCCATGAAGCGGTTGCATCTGCCAGTCTACTGGTGACTTGTTTTTTTTTTGTGTTCAGGTAAGATGGTGTGCGCCATCAGTTCCATACGAGCAGATCCTGCTGCCTTGGCAAGTTTCAAAGCGTGATCTGCCAAGTCTCTGACTTTGGTTGGATGGTCTCTCATTTAGTTTTCTGGGCTGCAGGACAGACTAGGACCTCAAAGGGAGTTGGCCTCTTACACCACAGCACCTACACCGACCACATGCACCACGTACACCAGAGAACCTACACCGCCTCTATTGTATCCTTTCTCATTTCTTAGCCTGGGGTGGGTTTGGCTTGGCTGGCGGGATGCACCCCTCTGAGGGGATTGTGCCTGTCGAAGCGCTCTCGCTGTGGCGCCGTGTGGGGCTAGCCGGATCTAGCCGGCGAACCCTCTGCGCGGATCGTGCGTGTCGAAACGCTCTCGCTTTGGCGCCGTGCGAATTTTCAAGCTCGCCGGCAAACCTTCTCGCTGTTTTCGGCGTGTGAAAGCGCTGGCGCGTGGAGCGTCCTAAGAATTCTGTTCGTAATCGAAGACCCTTTCGCTGTTTTGGGCGCGTGGCATTGCTGGCGCGTGGCGTGTCCTGCTAAATCTGTTTGGAACGCGTGGCAGCGCTGGCGCGTGGAGCATCCTGAGAATTCTGCTTGGAATCGACGCTCATCTCGCTGTTTTGGGCGCGTGGCAGTGCTGGCGCTTGGAGCGTCCGTTTGGAATCGACTACATTCTCGCTGTTTTGGGCGTGTGGCAGCGCTGGCACGTGGAGCGTCCGAGAATTCTGTTTGGAATCGACGCCCGTCGCGCTGTTGTCGATGGGAGGGAGCGCTGGCGCATGGAGTGTCCTGCGAATTCCGTTTGGAATTGACGCCCATCTCGTCGTTTTCGATGGGTACGAGCTTTGGCGCGCGGAGCGTATTGAGAATTCTGTCAGGAATCGACGACCTTCTCGCTGTTTCGGGCGCGTGCCAGCACGGGCGCGTGCCAGCTTCCTGAGAATTTTATTTGGAATCAACGACCATCTCCTGTTTTCGGCGGGTGGGAGCGCTGGCACGTGGAGCGTCCTGAGAATTCTGTTTGGAATCAACGGCCTTCTCGCTGTTTTCGGCGGGTGGAGCGCTTGCGTGCATTTGCCCGAAAGCTCCGCGAAGGGTTCTTCGTCAAAAACTCTTGACCTGCTTACACCACAGCACCTGCACCGCTCACATACACTGCACCAAGTACACCACAGCAACTACACCGCTCGCATACACCAGGACACCTACACTGAGCACATACACCACAGCAACTACACCGCACCAGTACGCCACAACACCTACATCACAGCACTTACACCACACCACGACCGCAGCACCTAGAACACGGCCAGATAAGCGCGCCTTGCTAACGTCGAACTGACAGCTTTCGGGATAATGAGGGTCCAGTTTGGCTGTGAGACCTGAGAAGAACCTTGGCTGGCGCCAGGCCATGTGCATCTATCTTCTGAGTGATCAGTGATTGGTCCCATTCTGCTTGGGAGTGGGCTTGGCTTCAGTTGCCGAGAGATGGGAGTGCCTTGTTCTTGTACTGTAGACTAGAAGGGGGAACCAGAACACGTAGATGAGGCCTCCTGAACTCGGCAAACTCACAAACTCCTGCTCCCTCAGCCTTACGTGGCAGCTCTAGCCTGGTAATCTCTAGAGTGCCTTGAGCATTTGCATCCCACTCGTCGGATACCCTGAATGCGTGGCTACTCCGCCCTCAGCGGCACGTTCACAGACCCAGCAACAGCTGCCATGCCAAGCCACTGTTATTCCTCTATGTCCTCTAATGCTTGGGTGTGAACGTGCTTTCGGCTTGTACATAATCCTCAGCATAGCGTACCCAAAAGGTGCCTCCAGTCCGAGGTGTGCTACTTTCTGCAGACCACTGCTTGGTACATGCCGCATAGTTTTCAAAGGACGTGCGCCTCCGATTACGCACTTTTCTGAGCAGTAAGCCGGCCCGTGGCTCCAGATGCCGCTCAAGCTGTGGAATGTCAGCCTGATTCACTTCAGACTTGCACATTCTGAAGTGCTCGCCTACCAGAACTCAAGCGGAGAACTGAACCCAGAAGCAGCACCCAGCATATTCCAGCATCGCCAATGAGCGTTGCTGTAAAGTCCTGCCGGGAGGTTTTGCCTGGAGGAATGGCTGACGCGGCTAGGTGGCATGTGTGGCATCTCAATTTTTTTCCATGAGCCATCCCCTGGATGTTGCCCATGATGAGCTTTCTGCCGAAGTTGTTTGAGAAATGGTTTGGTTCAGATCCTGCCTTCCGAGGAAGGAGAGGAGCTACCAAAGGCAGCGAACCCAGGGGCTCTCGGAGGCGCGAAGAACTCTTCGGAAGAGTGTAACAAGCGTGGGTTTCTCCATTGTTGGATCCGCGCAAGATGCAGTCGCCTTTCCGATGCTGCAGCTTAAGATGGGTGTCGTCATACAGAAGAAGTGAATTTTTTTTCACGTTCTGACACATTCTGCATTCAAGAGTAGTCGGGATGCTTTGCAGAAATAAAAGAAGTCCAGCTGAATGGCATAATCCTAGGCTGTTCCACTCTGGTCCCCCCCCCTTACTGGTCACGAAAGCGGACACAGGATTATTCTTTTGCCATGGCTCTGTGTCCCGCCCCAGAGTTAGCAGTGGAGCAAGGATAGCAAGTAGAAGGCCAGGATGTTTTCCTTGGATGGAGAAGTCATATTGGATTGGGATGCGCGGTTTCTGCAC